TTTTTTCAAAACAGCAGAGGCTGGTGAATCTGAGTTTGAGGCCAGCCTGGTCTACAGAGTGAGTTCCAGGACAGCCAAAGCTACACAGAGAAACCCTGTCTTGAAACAAAAACAAAAACAAACAAACAAAACAAAACAGATGAAGAATTTCAGGATTTACAGGATTAAGAGATGAAACTTTTTCTCCTATTCAGACACAGATGATAAGCCTGGAGAGGGTTCTGAACTATAAAGTTGGTCATAACTCAACTGGGAAGAAAAATAAATCAAACCCATGGTTACCCTGACCGACATTGGGATCTCTCGGCTGATGATGGGGGTAAGCAGTAAAGCCTGCCATTGGTCTAATATACTCAGGAGAAAAGAAAATAGATTAAAGCAGTGACTCCCATGGAGGCCTGACAAGGGACTTTCAATTAGGTCTAGAAGGGAGCACGTGTCTTAAGTTGTGGAAAAGGCCGCTGGGCTCAAGAGATGACAGAAATCAAGGATATAAAAAGCAATTATGTGTTAGGCAGCCAAGAGCTACCAGCCCATATTAAGAGAGACAATGAGACTTAAAATCCCAACATCCTTCAGGCAGGAAGCAGACTGAGAATATTGCTCAGTCCCCAGGGAGGCTGCAGCGCCCATTTTAAACATGGCCAAAGAGAATAACAGAAAGGCCAGAACCTGGCAGAGGGCTAGGCCAAGAGTCCCACAGAGGAATGCACAGAGCAACTCATCCTTAAAGCACAGGGGACACCCCTCTTCCTAGGGGAGAGGGCCTTTCAACACCAGCCGTGAGTCGGGGTGCCCTGTGCCTCCCAGCCTCCCCTGTCTGAGGTTATTTGTGTCCTTGACTTGTGTCTGTGTTCTGCGAAGGTCCAGAAGGCATAAGACTTGTCTTTTCAATGTATGGGTTTCTAGATCAAGAGGAACCAGATCCAGACCCAGCAGAGAACATTCCATGAGCCAGGACATATGCCCATGTCCTCTACACTCAAAGGCTGAGGCCATTCTTGTGCTTCATAGTAAGACCCCTGAGCAAAACTCAAAAGTGTCCAAGTACCGGAAGAGGGTGTCAGATCCCCTGGAACCGGAGTTAGAGACAGTCATGAGCTGCCCCCAGGGTGCTGGGAATTGAACTCAGGTCCTCTGGAAAAGCAGCCAGTGCTCTTAACCACTGAGCCATCTCTCCAGCCCCTCCCTACGCCACCCCGTTTTGTTTTGTTTGTTTGTTTTGTTTTGTTTGTTTGTTTTTGAGACAAGGCTTCTTACTGGCCTCGGACTCACCAAGCAGGCTCGGTTGTCTGGCCAGCACAGCCCAGGGGTTTATTTTTCTGCTTACCCAGCACTGGAATTACAAATGTCACATGCCCACTTGTTTGTTTTAATGTGGATTCTGAGCTCAAACTTAGGTCTTTATGTTTGCAAGGTTGACTGAGCTACCTCCCTGGCACTTTTTGATCTTTTTTTTTTTTTTTTTTTAAATTAAAGTTTTGGGTTTTTGTTTTGTTGTTTGAGACAGAGTCTCACTAGCCTAGGCTAGCCTCAAATTTGTGGGGATCCTCATACCTCAGTCTCTCCAATGCTGGCATTACAAGCCTCCACGCTTACCTATGGAAGTCTTTTTTGTTATCACAACATAGTCCCAGCACTCGGGAGACAGAGGCAGGCGAATCTCTGAGTTCGAGGCCAGCCTGGGCTACAGAGCGAGATCCAGGACAGCCAAGGCCACACAGAGAAGCCTGTCTCAAAAAACCCAAAATTAGTTAAATAATTAATTCGAGCTGATGAGCAGGGAGGCGGAAGGGAGGGGAGGGGGAGGGGCAGGGGGAGGGGGCTCTACATCCAGAGACAGATGTGAATCTTGCGCGTGGCTCCCTCTGAGCCTTCTCTCTTGCTTCGTCCAGTCTGGTTAATGAAAACCTTTCTGTTACAAGCTGCAGCGATGTGCTACTTCCCACCCTCTGATTCAGGAGATCCCGTGGTGTTCCGAACCTGTTGTGGGTTGAGTCCCTTTCCTCAATTTCTCTCAATATCCTATTTCAGGAACTCCTCAGGCTGGGACTCTCCCTGACTTAGAGCTTTGTGAAGAGGAGGATACAGGTAAGAAAAGTGGACGTAAGGGGCCCGCAAGATGGCTCCGTGGTTAAAAGTGCTTGCCAGCAAGCCTGCCAGCCCGAGTTTGATTCCCAGAATCCACATGGTAGAAGAAGAGAAGCAACTCCACAAAAGTGCTCTCTGAGCCGGGCGGTGGTGGTGCACACCTTTAATCCCAGCACTCGGGAGGCAGAGGCAGGCGGATCTCTGTGAGTTCGAGGCCAGCCTGGTCTACAGAGTGAGATCCAGGAAAGGCACCAAAACTACACAGAGAAACCCTTTCTCGAAAAAACAAACAAACAAACAACAACAAAAATTGTCCTCTGACCTCCACACTCGAACCCTGGCATACATACAAACACATATCTGCACATGTGAATAAATAAATATATATATGTGTGTATATATATATATATATATATATATATATATATATTACCTTTTAGAGCTTTATTAGGAGGAGAGAGAGAGAGAAAGAGAGAGAGAGAGCCAAAGAGACGCAGAGAAAGAGACAGAGCATGCGCAGAGGGAGAGTATATAGAGGGAGAACCTAAGTTGTTGGGTTTTTTCTTTGTTTTGTTTGGCTTTGTTTTTCAAGACAGGGTTTCTCTGTGTAGCTTTTCACCTTTCCTGGAACTCACTCTGTAGACCAGGCTGGCCTCAAACCCATAGAGATCCTCCTGCCTCTGCCTCCCGAGTGCTGGGATTAAAGGTGAGCGCCACTGCTGCCAGGCACATTTTTTATGTGTTTTTTGAGACAGGGTTTCCTTGTGTAGCCCTGACTGTTCTGGAACAAGCTCTGTGGACCAGGCTGGCTTTGAACTCAGGAAAAAAAAAAAAAAAAAAAAACTAAAAATATTTTTAAAAGAAAGGTAGAAATAGGTAGAGGAGAGGGCAAAGTTTGAAGTTTTACCTAAGAAGGTAATGCCAAATTGCCAAATTTCCCCTGCATCTCTCACTGATGTCAAGTGTAGACTTCATTCTTCCCCTCCAAAATCAACTACACGGCCGGTCTTACACCAGTGAGAAGTGACTTCCCCAAATCCACCTTCCCAGCTTAGTCCGGTCCGGGAGAGTGGCCTTACCAAGGCTGCGGGCGGGGTGAACGGTCCAGTAAATGTTCAGGCAGGCAGCTTGGTGCTTCATGCGTCGGTGGCACGTGCAGCTTAGCAGAGAGCTGTTCCTAAGTTGCTGCGCTGCCTCCAGGCAGTCTGCGGACATGGAAGACTCCTCCAAGGGTAATTCGGTGCTGAAACTGGAGGTGCAGGACTCCAGCTGTTGGTAGGCAGCCTTGCAAGCGGGATCAGCCTGGCATTTCTTTCTGGCCTGGATACAGCTGTTCACAAACCTGCTCTCTGTGGGAAGGGAGTCTCCTGCAAAGACCGCAATCAAGTGAGGCCACAAGATCTGCCAGGGAATACTACATCAGGAGGTAAGGTAGAGCAGATTGAGATGAAATCATGAGAAAATCTTAGGATATCACAGAGCGCTTTAAGAAAAAGTGTGGAGGGTGCTGGAGAGATGGCACAGCAGTTAAGAGCACTGGCTACTCTTCCAGAGGACCCAGGTTCAATTCCCAGCACCCACATGGCACCTTACAAGTGTCTGCAACTCCAGTTCCAGGGGATCCAGCACCCTCACACAGACATACATGTAGGCAAAACACCAATGCACATTTAAAAAAAATAAATTATTCGAAAAAATAAGAAGTGTGGAAGGTGCTGGAGTGATGGCACTGCAGTTAAGAGCACTGGCTGCCCTTCCAAAGGACCCAGGTTCAAGTCCCAGCACCCATATGATGGCTCACAGCTGTCCATAACTCCAGTTCCAGGCACATGTGGTGCACAGACATACATGGAAGCAAAACATTGATATAAATAAATTTAAATAAATCTCATATGTGTGTGTGCGCGCGCGCACGAGAGCACACACACACACATGCACGCACACACGCGCGCGTGCACACACACACACACACATGCGTGCCATGCCAGCAACATCTATCAGAGAGCTGTTCCTGAGTTGTGCTTCTTTAAAATATATACACTTTAGGCCGGTGGTGGTGGCACACGCCTTTAATCCCAGCACTCAGGAGGCAGAGGCAGGTGGATCTCTGTGTTCGAGTCCAGCCTGGTCTGCAGAGTGAGTTCCAGGACAGCCAAAGCTACACAGAGAAACCCTGTCTCAAAACAAAAACAAAAACAAACAAACAAAATAAAAACAGATGAGGAATTTCAGGATTTACAGGATTAAGGGATGAAACTTTTCTCCTATTCAGATACAAATGATAAGCCTGGAGAGGGTTCTGAACTATAAAGTTGGTCATAACTCAACTGGGAAGAAAAATAAATCAGACACATGGTTACCCTGACCGACACTGGGATCTCTCAATTGATCAACCGAGGCTATCTTGTATTTTATGTTTATCTACACACTCTAAATCCTTCTATCTAATATTTCCTGCTGCTCTCACTCAAGAAAACTCTGGGGAACTGTGGGGTTGGTGGGTAGCCACCCCACACCCCACATTGGGCGCCAGATGAAGTGTGAATTCTAATTGGTCTTAATAATAAAAACCCAGAGTCAGATATTAGGGGGTAAAAGCTGAAAGATCAGAGAGGCAGAGTAGCAGCCACTAGTTCTTACCTCTATAAAAGCCTCAGCCCAAAAGGAGCTCCTGTCCCCTCCCCACCTTATCACTTCCTTTCTCTCTGCCCAGCCATATCATTTCCTATCTGTCTATACAGACCTCCAGACCTCTATGGTAACTAATGGCTAGCTTCACCCTCTGATATTCAGGCAAGCTTTATTTGTTAAAGCACAAGCAAGATATCACCACATACAACCATCTGTAACTCCAGTTCTAAGGGATCCAACACTGTTCTGATTTCCTCCAACGCCAGACATGCACGTGGTGCACAGACATACATGCAGGCAAAACACTCATATACATAAAACAATAAAATAAATAAATCTAAAAATTAGATGTTCTGACCTGTGGTGGTGTGAAAGAAAATGGCCCCCACAGGGACTGGCACTATGAGGAGGTGTGGCCTTGTTGGAGGAAGTGTGTCACTGTGAGGGCAGGCTTTTGAGGTCTCCTAGGCTCAAGCTATACCCAGTGTGGTTCAGAGTTGCTTCTGCTGCCTGTGGATCAAGATGTAGAACTCTCCACTCCTTCTCCAGCACCATGCCTGCCTGCATGATGTCATGATGGTAATACGCTAAACCTCTGAAACTGTAAGCCAGACCCAATTAAATGTTTTCCGTTATAAGAGTTGCCATGGTCATGGTGTCTCTTCACAGCAATGGAAACCCTAAGCTATGTATGTTCAATAAGCCCTGGTGCCTCAACAACTTCCCACAGTCTGTTCCTCATTTTCCTTGGCCAGGTCTCCTTTCAGGTCTCCATGGTTGTATCCTCCAAAGCCATTCTCTCACATCTTCTGGATATGTTGGTTAGTGAGCCCCTTTTGTAAGCTAGAAGACTTTTTATTACGGTAAAATTCACACAACACAAAATTTACCTTCCTTTAAATTTTTTTATTCTATGTATTTATTTATGAGGTGCATGTATGCATAGCACAGATGTGAAAGTCAGAAGGTAATCAATAGGAGTTGGGTCTCTCCTTCCTCCATGTAGGTCTCAGGAATTGATCTCAGGTCGTCAGGCTTGATGGTAAGTGTCTTTACCCACTGAGCCACCCTGCCAGACCTCAGATTTACCTTCTTATTTATTTTATGTGTATGTTTGCCCTCATGTACATATGTACATCACATGTGTGTCTGGTGCCCATGGAGACCAGAAGAGGGAGTTGGATATCCTGGAAGCAGAGTTTGACAAAGTTATGAACCTCCTTGTGGGTGCTGAGCACCAAAATTAGATCCTCTGCCAGAGCAGCAAAATGCCCTTAGCCACTGAGTCACATCTCCAGCACTGCTATGCTTAACTTTCGGGGGGGAACTACCAAATTGTTTTTCACAGAAGCTGCATTTTTTAGATTTCCACAACCAACCTGCAAAGATTCTAGTTTCTCCTCACACCTACCAAGCCTTGCTATTTTTCCATCTCAGTAATAAACCCAAGAATAAGATTCAGGAAAAGTCCACGGATGAAAGATGTATAGATAAATGAATTTTACCAACTGAATACATCTATGTAACCAGCATCTGAGTAGTAAAACTGAACATTACCCATGGCCCAGAAGTCCTTTTTCAGTTTTCTGCAAGAAAACCAGTGGGGTTTTGTTGTTGTTTTGGTTTGGTTTGGTTTGGTTTTTTGTTTGTTTGTTTGTTTGTTTTTTCAAGACATGGTTTCTCTGTAGTCCTGTCTGTCCTGGCACTTGCTCTGTAGACCAGGCTATTCTAACTCACAGAGATCCTCCTGCCTCTGAAGTGTGCCACCACTGCCCAGCTCAATATCTTATTTCTAACATCAGAGATCAGTTTTATTTTCAATCACTTAATATGTGCTTTTCTTTGCATCTTGCCAAGTATGTATTCATGTATGTGTGGATGTTATGTATGTGTTTGTTTATCTGTTTGTGTGGGTATTGCCTGTGTGCAGCATCTGTGCCTATGCAGACACATGCAGAAGTCACCGCAGGATGTAGGGTGTCTCTCTCTCTCTATTGTTCTCTGCCTTGTTGACTCGCTACAGGATCTCTCCCTAGACCAAAAGCTCATCTTTTTGGTTAGGCTGGTTGACCATCATGCTCTCAGAATCTGCCCCACAATGCCAGGGTTATGGGTACACACAGCCGCGACTGTTTTTGTTGCTGTTGTTTTTCAATTTTATTTATTTTTATTTAATGTGCATTGGTGTTTTTCCATGAGTGTCAGGTCCCCGGAAACTGGAGTTACAGACAGTTGTGAGCTTTCATGTAGGTGCTGGGAATTGAACCCAGGTCCTTTGGAAGAGCAGTCAGTGCTCTTAACCGCTAAGCCATCTCTCCAGCCCTGTTGTTGTTGTTTTGAGTGTGGATGCTAGAGCTTTGAATTCAAATCCTCATGCTTATCAAGTAATCACTCTTACCTACCGAGGCATCTCTCTAGCCCCTTTGAGTGGGTTTCTTCTCCTTTTCTTGCTAAATGGCCCAGTGTACCCCAGGAGCTCAAGCTGGCCTTGCACATCCCTCCTCAGACTCCCCAGTGCTGAGATTACAGGTATGGGCCACTGTGCATGACACAGCTTCTTTTGCTCAGTTACATTCTTGTGAAATTTATCCACAGTGATGGGAATTTGTCAACTGCAAAGTCCATGGAAGGTGACAGTAACTCTGTCATTCACTAACCGTGTGGTTTTCTTTCTTTCCTTTTCTTTAAATAGAGTCTTATTCTGTAGCCTAGCACAGGCTGGCCTGGAGACAATCCCCTCAGGTGTGAGCCAACATGACCATTTAAAAGTCCATGTTTGTTTTTTGAACTAGGGCCTTAGGTAGTCAAGATTTGCCTCAGACTCTCTATGTAGTGGAGGATGACCTTGAACCTCTGATACTCCTGTCTCTACCACCCAAAAACTGGGATTACAGGCATGCACCACCATGCCCAGTTTAGAAGCCTTGTCTGGGCTGGCAAGACGACCTTTTCTACCAAGCCTGAGAAAATACTGCAGGTTGTTCTTTGACCTCCACATATGTGCCCTCCAACCACCCCAAATAAGTAACAAATGTAAAAGATGAAGACAAAGAAGGAGGAAGAGGAGGAGGAGGGGAGGAGGAGGAAGAAGGGGAGGAGGGGAAGAGGAGGAGGGGAGGAGGAAAGGAGAAGAGGAGAAAGAGGAAGAAGAGGAGGAAGAAGAGGAAGAGGAGGAAGAAAGGGAGGAGGAGGAAGAAGGAGAGGAGGAGGGAGAGGAGGAGGAAGAAACACTGTGGAGATGATTCAGCTCTTTAGAGAGAATTACGCTCTTCCGGAGGACCTGAGTTCATTTCCTAGCACCCACAGGCAGCTCACAACCGCCTGCAACTCCAGTTCCAAGGCATTCAAGACCCTTTTCTGGCCTCCCTTGGCACCTGCACTCACACAGCAAGAGAGAGATACACAAATACACAAATATACATAAATAATGATTTTTTTTTTTTTTTAAGGGAAGAAAAAGAAGGGGGCCAGCGAGTTGACTCAGAGATTAAGAGCACCGGCCACTCTTGCAGAGAGGACCTGTACTCAGTTCCCAGCAACCACATTATGGCACACTACTATCTCAAAGAGAAAAAAGAAAGAAAGAAAAGACCTTTACCAACAAGGGACATGGATTTAAACACATTGAGGAATTCTAGAAAGTGTAAAGAGATGCCTATTACAAATAAGTATGGGTTAGTGGCTGACTGAGGGAAATGCCCCAGGTTTCAGTCCCATCGCAGTCGCTGAAGTAAACAAACACTTAACTAAACCAAAGGTTGAGTCCTAACCAGTTGTGTTCTCTTTCGAGGCCAGCCTGGGCTACCAAGTGAGATCCAGGAAAGGCGCAAAGCTACACAGGGAAACCCTGTCTCGAAAAACCAAAAAAAACCAAAAACCAAAAAACGTTCTCTTTGCTGGTAGCTGACCAAGCCTGAGCCTGGTGGATTCAAGGGCCTCTCAGGCCACAAAGAACTTGGAGGGATTCAAATGTAAATTTCAAGAGGGAAAAAAGTAGAGGTTGCTTCCTGGATTGTGAAACCGGCTTAGTTCAGGGCAAGCTCAAAAACTGATACAAGGCACAGATGTTTGCTTTAATTAACACACATGTTTTCTTTTCTTCTTGGCTGGTGTTGGAAACTGAATCTAGCTCACGTTAGGCAAGAGGTCCGTACCCTGATATGTCCCGAGTCCTTTTCTTTTCTTTCTTTTTATCTAAGGTTCTGCGCTGACGATGAGAGACTGAATGTCAGGCAAGTGCTACCACAGATCTATATTCTTTTCTTTCATTTGTAATATTACTTATTTTTGAAACAGAGTCTTCCTCGGTCGCCAGGACTGGTTAGAGCTTGCTATGTATGTAGTCTGCTCTAGAACTCACCGCGTAAATCAGGCCGTCCTTGTCAAGTACACCTGTCGTTCATTCTACTTTACTAGCTAATGAGGAAGGTGTTTAACGTTTACCTCTGACCCTAACATGCAGCCCCAGGTTAGGGGGAGTGCAGCTTCCCGGTGGACAGCCCAGTCAGACTGACGAGAGTGCTAAGATTACACCACACCAACTTTCCCTTACCTACTTTGACCTAAAAAAGAAAATCTTTTAGAGATGTAATGAGTGGCTATTTAAAAGCCAGACAAGCCCGGGCATGGTGGTGCACTCATTTAATCCCAGAACTCAGGAGGCAGAGGCAGGTGGATCTCTGTAAGTTGGAGGCCAGCCTGGTGTACAGAGTGAGTTCCAGAACAGCCAGGGCTGTCTCAAAAAACCAAAACTCCAAACAAAGAAAAAAAAAAAAAAAAAGCACGGTGCTCCACAGGGTATGTGGAGCCTATGGATGGAGGCCCATACCTTTTCCCGGCACTCAGGCAGTAGAGGCAAGTGTCCTCTGTGACCTCAAGGCCAGGGATGGCTATATAGTGAGACCCAGGCTCAAGAAGAAAATTAAAAAACAAAAAAATCCATGGGGCTGGAGAGATGGCTCAGCAGTTAGAGCACTGATTACTCTTCCATAGGTCCTGAGTTCAATTCCCAGCAACCACATGGTGGCTCACAACCACCTGTAATGAGATCTAGTGCCATCTTCTGGCCTGCAGGGACACATGCAGACAGAATACTGTATACATAATTAAAAAAAAAAAAAACAGGCGCTTTCTCTTAGAAGAGTGGGCACACTCCTAGGTTCCCCAGAGTTGAGTAGCTGCTGCCCCATTTAAGCACGTTGTACCGGTTCTAACCGGTTCTAACTGGGTTCATCAGAGAAGGACTAATTGTCAGCCTTTGGGCAGAGGGGGTGGGGTGGGTGGTGGGGTGGGGGCATAAGAGCCTCATTGGTTTCCCTCCTGTGGTTCCTTGCATGGACACCCGCTGGTGGACGAATGAGCCAAGAAAAAGAACAAGCATCAGGAATGTTGCCTGCCCAGCCTAGCTCTAAGTTAGAACCTGGAGCTCATGTTTTCTACGTAGTTTAGAAGGATTTTTAGGCCATGATGCCACTTCCCTGAGAGTGGAAAGCCCCCTTTCTGTTTGGTTTGGGGTGAGCAGTGGTATTCTCTGCTCAACTGTTAAAAACTCCCTGTTAGTGTTAGCTCAGCAGCGGCACTTGGCAGCTACTGGGCAGCAGTGAGGGGTGTGTGTGTGTGTGTGTGTGTGTGTGTGTGTGTGTGTGTGCGCTGTAGTGCTGGGGATTAAACCCTAGGGCCTTAGGAATGATGCAAGGCAAGTACACTCACATCCTAGGCCCTGGTAGGGCCACTTGAGCAGGAAATATTGCAGATGTTACTGTGGAATGGACCTGTCTGTCACTCTACCTCACCAATTAATGAGGAAGGTATTTAATGTTTGTCTCTGACCCTAACAGGCAGACAGATGCTGGGACTAGTAGAGTTTCCTGGTGGGCAGCCAAGTCAGACTGATGAGTTCTTACTGCCCAGATTTACGGATGGAGACACGCTGTACAGACGAGTCTCTCCCCTTTTTCATTTCTCATCTATTTGTTCCTTATATGTGTGTTGTATGCGCATGTATGCATGTGTGCGTGAGTGCCCATGAATGTGTTTGCGCGTCACGTGCCTGTGGAGGCCAGAGATCCATGGTAGGTGTCTTCCTTTATTGCTCTCCACCTCCATTGTTTGAGACAGGTTTTCTCACCAGATCTGGAGCTCACCATTTTGGCTAGACTGGCTAACCAGCAAGGCTCTGTCTCCACCCCCCTTCCCCCCACCCTGCTGCTGCAGGTGTTACAGATGTGCGCCACTGCTCCCAGCTTTCATGTAAGTCCTGGAGATCTGGAACGCAGGCCCTCAAGCTTGCACAGAAAGCGTGCCACCTATTTGAGCCGTCTCCCCAGACACACACTGCTCCCCTTCCCCACACCTGCACCTTGTTTGGAGACAGGGTATTGCTGTGTATCGAGCCCAGGCTGGCTTCAAACTCATGATCCTGGAGAGTGCTGGAATTACAGCATCAGGCCCCGCTCCACTGTATTTCTGTGGCACCAGCTCTGTGGTGTGTGGCCTCACTCAGGATTCCTCCAACTCAGGCTGGGCTGTGTTTGTTTGTTTGTGTGCTGTCTCCCACAATGAGACTCCGAGTGTTTTTCCTCTTTCCTAAGATCGTTATCATTCTTTGCTGGGACTTCCGTCCTTAGGATTCTCTTCCTTGGGGTAGAAGGACATGGTTCTAAATCAGCCCTGAGTTATAGGATTCCACAAAACTTACTGTGGATCAGTTATCCTCTGGAGAAGGCACTGTACTGGGCACCTTGTTGGGGGAAAGCCATATGGCCTGGCAGGGGGTTCACTACACCAGTTCTGTGGGACCCCAGCAGCGGGAGTGGGTGCGGCTCTGCCTCTCGCCTGCTCTTGGGCCGCTTTTCCTCTGACTGGGTCGCCTTGTCCAGCTTCCATATGAGGGCTTTGCTTTGTCTTATTGTATCCTGTTCTGTCCTCTTTGGTTGTCTCTCAGAGGCCTGCTCTTTCCTGAAGTGAAACAGAGGGGGAGTAAGTCTGGGGGAGAGGAAAGGTAGGTGGGACTGGGGGGAGTGGAGGGAGGGGAAACTGTCATTGGGGTGCAGAGTATGAGAGAAAACCTATTTTCAATTAAAAAATGTATCAAGCAAGTGGATCTAAAAAAAAAAAGACTTACTCTCAGAACTTGGGAGGCAGAGGCAGGTGGATTTCTGTGAGCCTGATTTACATGGAGTTCCAGGTCAGCTAGGCAACATATGGAGACCTTGTCTAAGAAAAAAATACAAACAAGAAAAAAAAACCCACAAACAAACAACAACAACGCCCTACATCCAGTGAGACTGGGGGCTGGGGCAGAGCTGTGAGCTCCACTAGCAGGCATCATAAAACAGGAGGGTGGCGGCATGCTCGGGAGGTCTTTCTCTAAGCTGCCAATGTGTTGCTCTGATTGATTTGATAAATAAAATGCCGATTGACCAGTAGCCAGGCAGGAAGTACAGTATAGGTGGGACAAGCAGAGAAGAGAATTCTGGGAATAGGAAGGCTGAGTCAGGAGTCGCCAGCCGGACACAGCGGAAGTGAGGTGTAAAAGTACCGGTAAGCCACAAGCCACGTGGCAACTTACAGATTAATAGAAATGGGTTGATTTAAGATATAAGAACTGTTTATAAGTAATATAAATCTCTGTGTGTGTTTGCTTGGGTCTGAGCAGCTGTGGGCCCCCGGTGGGACTGGAGATAACTCCAGCTGCAGTGGCACACATCTGTAACCCCGGCACATGGAGCAGGATTAGAAATTCAAGATCATCTTCTTATGCATAGCCAGTCCCAGAACAAGACTACTACATGAGACTGTTTAAAATAAAAAGCCAGCGAGGGTGCCTCACGCCTACAGTCCCAGTACTCAGAAGACAGAGGCGGGCGGATCTCTGTGAGTTCGAGGCCAGCCTGCTCTACAGAGGAGTTCCAGGTCAGCCATGTCTACACAGAGAAACCCTATCTCGAACACCAAAAATAAATAAATAAATAAATAAATAAATAAATAAATAAATAAATAAATAAATAAAAAGCACATCCCTGTGTAGGAAGAGAGCATGTTGGTGGTAACATTCTCAACAACACAATCAGGTGATGAGGTTAGCAAATTCTAAGCAGTTTACAAGCCTATTCTGTGTCAAGTCTACGCAAATTCTTTAGTTTCTGCTTCCTTTAAGCGGTAGGAAGAGTTGGAGGCCACTGAGAGCCAATGGCAGCCTCTGATCAGATTCTCTCCTCCTGGGGATGCTGACTTGGCAGTGCCCTGGCTTCGGGTTGCCCCACAACTGATTTAGATGCACCTCAAAGGAGGCAAGAAGTAGAACCAGGATCGAGAAGTTACTGGGGTGGCCAGGATTCGCTAGGGCTCCATCTACACGAGTCCATGCTCCTGTATAAGCCCCTTTCGGATCTCTCTGGGCTGCCTACTCCGGTTCCCCCAGACTCGAGGGACAGAAGAGCGAGAACACAAGGCAGCTAGCTGACTCTTAACCCACACTCCAGGCTCCACCTGCCCTACAGCCCTAGAGGGTTCTGGCTGGGGGAATGCGCTGGCGACACTTACCTGCTCCAAGTGGCAGCCACAGCGACAGCACCAGCAGCAGGACCCCCAGCGGCCTCAGTCGTGGGCTCCGGGGGCGTCCCATGGCGGGTCGTGGACGCCGGGTGCCCGCTCTCCCGGAGCTCCGCCTGCGCAGGGCGCAGCGCTCCCCTGCCTCGGTGCGCGGGACTCGGCCAGCAGGGCTCCCGCGGCCGGCACCTCCCACCCCGCCTCCCGCCCCTCCTCCCGGCGCCGCCACTCTCCCACTAGGGTCGCGGGCACCGCCCTCCAACTCTGAAGCGCCAGGCAGCCTCGGGCGGGCGGCTGTTTCTCCCGGACCCAGAGTGGGACAAGACCTTATAGGGCCGCTTGAGTCAACAGCGTGAGCCACTAGAGTCCGCCAGCCTGTTATCTGTCTGCTGCCAATTGCCCTGGCAAGGCTGCCGCCGCTAAGTATTTGTCAAAAACAAAGCACCTTTTCCCATTCCGAACCCCTCTCCCCATCCAGGAGCAATAACCACCACAAAAGAAAGCTTGTAACAACCCTGGAATCAACCAGGTGTGGGCTCACTCCTGAAATCGCGGAGGCGGAAGCTGGAGGATTGCTGTGAGTTGATTCTAGCCTGACCTAGAAACTAGCCTGACACATCGAGTTCCAGACCTGTGTGGGCTATGGAGTGACACCGTATCTCACACGCCTTAAATGCGCGAATTTGGAAGGCAGAGGCAGGCAGATCTCTGTGAGCTCGAGGCCAGCCTGATCTACAGAGCTAGTTCCAGGCCAGCCAGGGCTGTTACACAGAGAAACCCTGTCTTGAAAAACAAAACCTAAACAAATCCAAAGCCAAACCAAACCAAGAAATCTTGCACCATCACAAAGGTATCTTGATTTCTGTGTGTGTGTGTGTGTGTGTGTGTGTGTGTGTGTGTGTGTGTGTGAATAGGTGTTTCCAGGGGTAAGGTTCTGAAAAAATGGTCCCCAGGCAGGTCTCAGGAACTTTAATAAACCGAACCCCTCCAAAATTAAGCCCTTTGACCTCTGAGAGCAGTCGAAAGGATATTCCTCCCACTCCAACCTGTAGATCCCCCAGTACCCGCTAAACAGACCAAACACCGACCGGAACTAAGACGTAACATGGTTGGTGGAATGAGGCTCTGGGCTCAGATGGAGGGAGCAGGAGAACCAGAAGTTGAAAGGCAAACCAGTCTGGACTGGAGACCTTGCCCTCAACCACCCTCAACTCCTGCCTAATCACTGGAGACCGTGACTGGAGACACCACTTACCCAGCCCATTTTCAGATGATGAGAGTGTGTGAGCAAGCTGCTGTCCCAGGGTTAAACTAGCTAGCAACTGCAGTGTCCAGAAAGCAATGCCATGAGAACAAGGAGAATTGTCTGGCCTGGGCTTGATTCCCACCAGTTTGCAGAGTCCAGAAGAACAAGAGTAAAGGGTGATGAAAGAGGAGCGTTTCGTCTCCTAACTCTCCAAGTTGAGCACCCCCACCTTCCACAGCCTGACTGGCAGAGAGCCAAGAGGGAAGGCACCGTGAAGTACAATATAAACCTTGGAGATTTATTGGCTGCTTCGTCTGAATATGGCCATCCTGCTGTGGCCTCTGGGGGGCATTTGCAGATGTAATCAGCCCAGAAAGAGAGTCATTCCAGCCAGGGTGTAAATCACCCTTCACAAAGCTACAAGAGAGACATGTGGCCCTAGATAAGAAGAGGACTGATGTGGCCTCTGTGCCCTTCCCTCCTTTCTCCTGCCCAGGGGGGAGCTGGCTCCTGATCTGTAATGCACTTTAAATGGAGTTTGTGCTGCGTTTTAATCTATATCTGCCCTGCCAGTTTTACAGGAGAGCTGTGAAAGTGAACATCTGGCTACCCAGCTATAGTACAGGGCCTGTTTGCTCCCAACTCCACCCCCATCCCTAAGTACCCAAGCATCCCTCCAGTGACATCAGGAAACCTGCATCCGGGGAGCTAGCTGAGGGCCTCAGCTTTCCACTTCATTCTTAAAGGAGTTTCAAAAGTGATTTACAAAGCAAAAGGAAATGATTTTCAGCTGGTCGGGATGCTTAGGAATGGACCGAGTTCCAAGAACTCACAAAGATGGGGGGGGCAAAGGGTACCCCCCACTTCTCCAGGAACCAAACTATGTCCAGTCACTGAAGAAGAGGACCAAAAGTATCTTTCCAATACTGTTCCCACAGAATGACCAAGAACTTGGGGACTGTCTGGCATGGTGGCACACACCTTTAATCCCAACACTCAGCAGGCAGAGACAGGTGAAAATCTGTGAATTTAATGCCAGCCTGGTCTACATAGTGAGAGATTTGGCTTTTAAAATAAACACAGAAACCCTGTCTTGAAAAACCAGATAGATAGATAGATAGATAGATAGATAGATAGATAGATAGATAGATAGATAGATAGACAGATAGATGCAGGAACAAGGTCAGGCAGATTAACTAGAGCTGCCCACTTTCACCTGAAAGAGACCAGCCTTTTATGATGGCCAAGGAGGTGTAGCGCCTGAGGCATTATTTCTGTCTGAATTTACCACCCCTGAACTTTAATGAGGATTGGTAACTAAGGTTAGGGAGGGTGGAGGAAACCCCTGCAAGTGAATATGACTCCAAGACCAGTATTGACGGCCCCCAGCATACTCTTCCTCCAGCCGTGTCCTTAGAAGGCCAACACCTGCAAAGTATGTGGCATTGCCCCTGGGAAACTTGTAGGTAGTGACCAATGAGCAGTCGTGTCTACAAATACGGCATTAGCCATCATAACAGTGTCTTCTTAAGATTGGCTATATACACACCGTTAGCTAGTGCAGAGTGATTAAGACACAAATCCAGCCTTGGGCAGCCTTACCATCTACGGATGGTGCCCAGAGGTCCAAAGTCCCCCTATCTAATTGCACTTGTATTTGCGATGTTGATTTTCTCCTCTTCTGATAAGGCCAGTGGATTGTGTGCTCTGCCAGGTCCCCTCCCTATGGAGCTGCTGGGGGCCAGCGCCAGCAGTTGGCAGTCCTGAGGGGAGGGAAGGAGTTGGTGAGAGAAGGAGTGAGCCAGGCATGATGGTCGGTCGGGAGCATCTTGGAGCCTGACTGACTAGCAGCCAGAGTGTTTCTTTATTTATACAGAATTCGGTAAGCGGGGATAGATTCACGTTGTTCCAAAACAGAGGTCACACCATTTTTGGTTTTGGACGTGTGTTACACATCCTCTTGCATATCTTTTAGTCATCATTGATAAACTGTGACAGAACAGAGTTATCTGTTACAATCATTTACCCTCAAGTTTAATCTTCATTGATAAACAGTTCTCTTTTATAATAATTTTAACTCATCAACCCCACATCCCAATTTTTAAGAACCCAGAGGCATATGACAGCCTGTTCTCAGGTTGGTAGCCTTTGTGGCTTCAAGGATGCTATACTGAAACAAAGTCTCCAGCCCAGCCCAGGCAGATTATCATGTCCCAGGCAGTGTATTATTAACTCTTAATGGTCAGAGTGCCCAAGAAAAATTCTCAGGCCAAAGATGCTACAGTTATTACTCAAATTCTGGCATAACACAATGTTTACATTTTATATATTTATAGAATTTGTTTACATGTCAAATCCTGGCATTTTGTTTGTGGTGGTGGTGGTATGAGCTAACTTTTTTAAGAAAGGGAGCTCCAGCCAGGCGGTGGTGGCACACGCCTTTAATCCCAGCACTCGGGAGGCAGAGGCAGGCGGATCTCTGTGAGTTCGAGGCCAGCCTGGTCTACAGAGCGAGATCCAGGAAAAGCGCAAAGCTACACAGAGAAACCCTGTCTCGAAAAAAGAAAAAAAAAAAAGAAAGGGAGCTCCTGACATCTCATTGTTTTATCATCTTTTTACATCATTCTTTGTCCATCAATATAAGTCTCCGTGTAGGGCAGAGGTAACATCAGCTAATCTCACGTTGTTGCTGTGTATGCCACATAGTCACCTGAATGCATAGTGGGAAGAGGCTTGCAGTCTGATCTGTGACCAACTCCTGTAGCCCACTGAATCTTGTTGACCTTTTTAAGTTTACTTTTGATTATCTTGTTCCGGAGTAAGTACAGGGACAGATGTTTCAAGAATATCTTGCCGGGTGGTAGTGGCGTACACCTTTAATCCCAGAACTTGGGAGGCAGAGGCAGGCGAATCTTCGTGAGTTCGAGGCCAGCCTGGTCTACAGAGCGAGATCCAGGAAAGGCGCAAAGCTACATAGAGAAACCTTGTCTCAAAACAAAACAAAACAACAACAAAAAACAATATCTCATAGCCTCCTAAAGAGACCTCTGGCTTCTTTATGTGTGTCACAACCTCAAGACCTTCAAGTAGATAAGGATATCTCCCTAAAAGCAGGAGGGGTAGCATGTTCAGGACTTTCCTGGGGAAGTTTAGAAGCAGCACTTCTGGGAGAAGGCAAAATGATTCATAAGAAAATTTCCATCGACCCAATATCCCCAAATTGTACAAATATTAAAAGTCCCCCAAGTATGTAAGAGGCAGAGATGAAAAAAACCAAAAGTAGCATGGCGGCCGTCATGCGGCTCAGCTTTGCTGGGTCTTTGTCAAGCAGCTGTGCTGGCTGGCTTAGGGCTTGTGCCGATCCCGTCAGATATGGCTGTGCTGTCGAGCTTTGATTTCTAAACTGGAAAGGTAGTACGGTGAATAGTGAAGAGCACACATTGTAGATTGCCTGGGTTCAACCCTCTCCCCAGCATTCTCCAGGGTGACAAAAACGAGTCCATTTTCTGTGCTCCATTTCTTCGTCTGTAAAATTAACGACAATATGTAATGTCTATGAGACATAAGTAAGTACATGCTGGATGTGGAGTTCAGCAAATGCCCTCAACAGACAAGCACTGAACAGACTGTGTCGTCTCAGGTGGGGTACAGGAGTTAATTATTCTGGGAATTTTACCAGCTTCCACCCCCTGGCCCGCTGATTTGGAACAAGAAGTAGCAGTATTTCTTTTGCTGGATATGGTATTTTTTGGGGTTGGTTTGGTTTTGAGACAGAGTCTCAAGTAGCTCAGGCTGGCCTTCATCTCTACATGTAACTGAGGATGACCTTGAACCCCCAGAGTCTCCTGTCTCTGCCTCCCAAGTGCTCGGGTTACTGGAGTGCTCCACCATACCCAACTTTACTTGTAAGTTTTCTTTCCTTTTTAATTTTG